GGGGGCTGGCTCCTCCACAGTCCCAACCCCGGTGGGTCTGCACGGGTTCCCATTTGGGGCATCCCCACTCACCAGGAACTCGTCGGCAAAGCACAGTCCCAGCACCAGCCCCAGCACACAGGCCACCAGCCCAAAGGACATGCCCAGAGCCGCAGTCCTGGGGAGGAGGGGAAAAAATCTGAGTTCTGGGGGACCACCTGCTCAGGGCAAACCACACAGTGCTCCCCCACCCAGCACCCCAATTCACAGGCGCACGTCAGCTTCTGCCCCCTCCTGAACTGCGACTCCACACTGGGCAGGGGGCCTTCAAAAGCCATGGTCCAGCTGCCTCGCTGCCACCACCCGAGGCCCGAGAGCAACGTCGTGCCCACCTTTCTGGGCGAGGCGTGTGAGAAATGAGAGACCGTGCAGCCTCGGCACTCGGGGCTGGCCCAGAAGTGCCACAGATGCGTCCCCTAGCCTGTCTTTACCAAGCACATCCTGAACCACAGTCTTAGTGGACCCCGTGGCCACCCACCCTCCCAGAACCACCTCGGGGCTGACCTGCCTCCCTCCCGTAGCCTCAGCCTCGCACCCTGCCCCGTCGCTCCCCCGCCCCAGGGCCCCGGGCATGGTGGCCGCACTCCCCGCTCCCAGCCCAGGTCCTATAGCTGTTGGGGAGGGGTCCTGAGGGCTTTAGGAGCCTGTCCTTCTGCCATTCCAAACACCTCAGGGAGGGTCACACAGGGAAGTGCCTGCAGGGCCACACGGATAACAGGTGGTGAGAGGCACCTGGGAGTGAGCAGGCCTGTGGCTCAAGCGAGCACGTGCACTCTGAGCGCTGGTGACTCCAGGGGCAGGGCCCACACGCCGTCGCCAAGGGACTCCAAGGTCTAACGTCAGGTCAGAGAACTCTGAGCAGCCCCACCCCCAGGCTGACCCCAGCGGCTTGACCATCCTGCCCACCCCCATCTGACCTGGGCATCAGCAGGACGTGGACGAGCAGGATGCAGAGGAAGATGAGGCTGGCACAGGCGAAGTAGTGGCGGGCCCGGGGGATGGGCGCCAGGCGGTACTGGGGGCGACACAGACTGTGAGGGGTGACTGGGACAGCCAGGCCTCCCCTGCGGGGCCATCCGACCTGACCCCCCAGCCCTCGGCCCACCCCGGCTCACGTTAATCACCTTAAGAACAAAGCTCACATCCGCCCCTGAGCTCCCAGTGACGTGACATCATCGTGAATGAATAACTCACTTGTCCCCACTTCGCTCCTTTGTTTAGAGGTGCTACCTTCCCCTCCCCCACACACCCAGGTCTCCCCCTTTATTCCCAAGGTGCCCGAAAGCCCAGGGCTCGAGTCCGCAGACAGGAACCCTGAGCTCCAGGGCTGCTGCTACAGAGGCTGCGGCGGGTGTGTCCCCCCGCAAACCGGGGAGCGAGGCCGGGCCTGAGCCCCGAGCTGCCCGCCTAGCACAGCGGTCATCTGCTCCGGGCCCAAAGTGCAAACGAGCAAGCCAAGTCCCGGGTCCCACGCCCGTGGAGGGCCTGCCAGGTAGGCTTCCTGGTGACCACGTCTGCCTCTGGACCCCAGGCTGCCCACCCAGGGAACCCCCAACTCAGAAGCCCCAGCTAGAGGACGCCTCCCCCCTACGCCCCACCCCACGCCCAGTCCTGGAGGACGAGGCAGGAGAGAGGTCCCAGCTCAGGGCACTCTGTCCGACAGGCCGCCTGAGGCCCAGACACACTGAGACCTCAGTCTGCGACACGGGTGACGGCGCCCAGCCCGGCCAGCCGAGTGAGGGCTAAATGACGTGACGTGTGTGCCGAGGACGCCGCCCCAACCCAGCAGGCGCGCCGTAAACACGTCAACGGCGAGGTGACCGTGGGCACGAGGCACGGCCCAGTCGGGCCCCTTCAACGCCGGCGCTAAGTGTGGGCTTGTCCCCGAGCGTGAGGCTGGCACTGTCGGCCGGAGACTGGGCCGGCCCTTATCAGCTGAGGCTCTGGCATCTGAAGGGACCACAGTCTCCCAAACTCACCCGGGAGACGAGAAGGGGAGCATCAACCTGGGGCGAGGCCAGCAGATGGAGCCCCCACTCCACCCGGCCGCCAGCTGGGGCCAGTCCCCTGCACCTTCCCACACAGAGCCGGCGTGCAGCTGCCCCTGGCCTGCGTCCCCCACCCCACCTCACCCCAGGCCTTGGAACCCACACCCCTGTAACGGCTCAGGGCCCTTACCTCTCGCTCAAAGTCTTTCTCCAGGAAGATGGACCCAAAGGTATAAAAGTCATCAGACTTGGAGCAGCAGGGCCTGCGGGGTGGCGGGCAGTGAGATGCGGGGACGGGGGAGCAGGAGTCAGGGGCCCGGACACAGCTGGAGCTGGGCCCCCGGGGGGCCTCGAGGGCACAAGGTGGGCCTGGCCAGCTGAGGGGCGGGGCGAGCAGAGGCAGGAGGCTCACCTGGTAGAGCTGAGGCCCTCAATGGCCGACAGCATCTCGTCATCGTACGAGTCATCCTCGGACCGCCCCTTCGGGGATGCGCTTCTGGAATCAGACACCCCCACATGCATCGCCCATGGGCCACGTCCAGACACCCCCAAATGCGTCGCCCATGGGCCACGTCCAGACACCCCCAAATGCGTCGCTCATGGGCCCACATCCCCTTGGCAGAGGCAGGGGTGTAGATGAGATGACTCCCGAGCGGGGGTCCCAGGGACCTGCAGGAGGCCCAGGGCCCCGTATGGGATGGTGGAGGGACGGGGGTCCTTCTGAGGCCCGAGAGGCCCAGCATCGCCCCACCGGCCAGCAGCCCGGCAAGAAACGGCGGGCAGAGCCCCAGCCCCGGTCCAGGGCCCTTCCTGTAGCCCCAGAGTGCCCCTCGGACCAGCCCCACTAACCCCGCTGATCCCGCTGCCGGGCAGGCACATGACAGGTACTGGACCGTTGTGAAATTCTCGTCCCTACAAACACCGCCCCTCAAGCCACGGCAAGCTCCGTGGTCAGCGCAGGGCCTCGCACAGCTGCCCTCCTTGGCAGAGGCTGGTCAGGGCAGCCTGCCTGGAGGAGGTGAGTGAGACAGGATGTGGCCAGGAAGGCCACAGCTTCACGGAGACAGAGGATAGTGCGCCTACCTGTCAGGGGTCCGGTGGCGTCGCAGGGGGATGACCTGGAAGGGAGGAGAAAAGGCCATCGTTGTCCAGAACGAGAGGGTGCTGGACACTGTCCCAGCTGCAGGCTCCCCAGACCCAGACTGAACGAGGCGGACGGGGACATCGCAGCCCCGGGAGCGTTCCCCACACGCCTGCACGTCCCAGGAGGGAGGGACGCGGGGCAGGGACGCGGGGCAGGGACGCGGGGCAGGGACGCGGCCCACCTCACGGACGGAGAG